CGACATACGCATAGCGGCTATTATTCAATATTATGTACTTCAATAGGGCGATAGTGTAGTAGGTCATGTTGCAGATTTATAATGCACTTTATGTAAATTAACTTCAATTTTGCAGACCTCAAAGCGTCATCAGCCGACCACCGATAGTAGAGTTTCCAGTGGAATTCGGAGCAGACTTCAACTTTGCGAAAATTTAACCTACGACCAGTTTGTGATTCAATGTTACGCAATCTAATAATTACGCGACTTTTTCTAGAATAATTCACGGGAATTAAATTGTCGTTGGAAAAAATCTTCGCCATATGATTTTTCAAATATAAACCTCCCCTTTCAAATATAGATTTATCGAATTGGAAAATAAATTATCAAAATACTCACAGTTTTACGAATAAAGTTTCAGAAAATTTATAATCTATAGATAGCTGTAAAAGTGTGCTAAACCAAGTTAAAATCGGGACAATTTCAATGTGGTACTAATTGTAAATGGGAGATATAGAAAAATGTACCTTAAAATTATTATAATTTAATATAAAATGATATTCATGTCTCTCTGTGTGTGTGTTAAGAACGGGTTTTCATGCATACATTATCATACATTATAGCGCGCGTCAAATGTGCATGTTTGTTCCTTTTCCCGACGTCCCGTTGCGCGCATTAAAGAAAGCACGCATTTAATTGGTAGAACGCACAGAGATGCGCGCTATAGCCTTAAAAATTTAACTATATGCAAATTATTTATAAGGTTTCAATGTTTGAGTTTAAATTTACTGCGGACAAAGATACAACGAAAGCTGTCATCTCAGTGAAAGTTATGAGCAAACAAGCAAACCATAGTTTGGATTAACCAAGATAAGCTCTAGGATAATTATGAAATAATTATAAACCAAGAGCAGCCATGATTAGCATTTCCACCCTCTCTTAGACGATGTCCTCGTGCAATAATAAAGGATGAAAACACAATTATATACAAATAATATATGATAATATATGTGTACCTAAATAGGTCCGTTTTAAGCTTGCCGTTGAAGTTTGATACCGAAATTAGATGTTAATTAAACCAACTAAACTAAACTGACCAATATAAAATTTATAATGCGAAGGTAGATATTTTGTTCATGTTAGATATTTTGAAATTACTTAAAACACGTTCACGTGAGATGTTCCGATTGTAATGTATTATGTCACAACCTAATCGTTATATTAATTTTTAGGTAAGTATTTAAAAAAGTATTATAGTTCAGAAAAATTTAGGATATATTCACATTAAACAATAAGTTTCCACTAAATCTATTATTATTTTATAAGCTCGTCATTGCTTACGAGTTTATTTCATTTACCTGGTCAAATACAACCTAAGAAAAAAAACTCGATGTATCGAAATTCAGTCAAGGGAGAGAAAGATAAATAAGGGTCGCAATTTGTTCTTCTTACGAATTTCCGAAATTTACCAGCAATTGGATCATCCCTAGGCACCTAAATTAAACATTATTTTTCGGAGAATAAACCTAAATGAAGATTGACGACGCGACTCCAGGGGCGAGTTAAGTTAAGTACAGTTAAAACGGAAGTCGGGGGAAAATTCTGGCGTCACGTTAAATCCAAGCCTGATCGCAGAATTTATTTCACTCGATACATTCCTCCTTCTTCTCGGAACTACGGAAATACGACGAACGGGTTGCCGCAAAACCGACTACGTCAGATCAACGAGTGTGTTTTTCCTTAGTCGGATTGAGCGAATGAAAATCTTTTCGCGGATGCGCTCCATCAGTTTTCCACCGTGCTTCAGTCGACGATGAATTTCTGATGAATCCTTCCAATATCGGAGATCCCGAGACTCTTCCGCGTGTTTTCACTTAATATTTACTAAGGCTTTCCAGCTACCATTCATTTGATAATTTATCTGTGCATCTCCGCAACATATCGAGAGATAAAAGGTAGCGAATGGTTACTGTTGAAAATATAATACGTGGTTGTCTCATTCTTCGATTTTAAATTCACAGAGTCGCGAATTGCACATATCATTTCACTGAATTCAGATATTTAAAAAGTAAATATAATATTTTATGCACTCATGCAAAATCTTATTTCTCGAGTAATTCCTTGATACTAGGAAAAAGCTTTATTTAATATCCCAGTTTATATGAATATTAATATATTAAGAACAAACGCATTTTTTAATTTAACAAGAAATATTAAATTAATATCTAATAAAATATAGATATAATATAGAACTTTTAGAATATTTAATCTCCCGCTGTCTCGTTTGTCGATATGCTGCGCGGATGTGCACATATAAATTACTAACAAAAATAATCTTATACATGTTGGTGAAATCTGTACATAAGCAGAAAAGCACTATAATTTATGCATTTCAATTTACTTATGTAATTTTTCGTACTCATCTATTCTCAAGTTTCTTTAGTCACAGTATTTAGTAGATAAAGCACAAACAATTTTTAACGTATACCTAATTAGATTTTTTATAATAAATTTTAACACTTCTAATTTATATATGCAAAATTTACCAGAATCTCCAATTTACAATTACTTGTAATTTTACTAACTAGTGTGGTATTATATAAATAATTGTCCACTTAGATTCTAATTCTTGATTCTCGATATTAAAAATGATAAATAATTTTTTTTCTTTACTTTGCTGAGTGATAGTGATCCTAGTTTTTACAATAATCACGAAATATTTTCAATGTAGATATTACAGAGACTCGAGGGTGTAAATCCGAACAGCTAATCCGAATTGCAGAATTATATTTTCCATTTAACGCCTCTTCGCTGCCTCGGTTTTTGTTCGCTTATAGAGCTTCGTTTTCCCGCTCGGACTCACTTATCTGATGTAAAAAGTAGAATCCCTAGTATCGGGTCGTCGCGTAGAAACGTATCTTTGTAATCCAACAGACATCTTTGATCTCGCCAAAAGCGCTTCCGTCACTGACAAGCAGGGTCGATCGATTGCGAAAGGAAGGCTACGAGAGTTCGTTATTTTGCACCTTGTATGCGCGCACGGTGCCCCATCGAAGCACGAGTGATTACTCGTTTCGGCTGTCATTTCATTAACAGACACTACATGACTCGCGCTTTTGACGAAGACTATGCTCTGTGCTGTAGATTAATTTCTATTCGGCGCTTACGCGGCGGGTATCCTTTAAAAACGAGTTAATACCTTTAATAGGTTCAACTGTAACAGGCACAACTATAACAAACCCGATTTAATATCACTTCGACGATTTATATCACAGCTGCCAATAATTCCTATTCATTGAGGTCAGACGACCGGTAAATTAATATAGATTAGAATTTTTATTGGAACGTTATCGGTTATCTTGTTGCCGGCATCCTCACGGATAAATTTAATAAATCGCTTTAGAAGAAGGCTCAACAAAGAAATATAAATGCGAATTTGATGCACGTCGTGGAAACCTCTGAGTATATGAATATAAGTGTTTAATTTATAAATAAAAATCTCATGTGAAAATCACGGCTATCAAATGTATAAATCAGAAACTGTATAATTATAAATATATTCTTACAATTTTATACATTTTCATATCCTTTTGAATCTCACAATATTTCAAGTAATAAAAATTGAAGATAATAAATATTCTTTAATTGAGATACAGACTACTTTGTGTAGCAGACTTTTATGAATTTCAAAATAGAATTTTTTTATGAATAAACATTTTCTTTACAATTTTCTATTAAATAAATATTCATAAAGATTGTTTTAACACGTTAACTGTTACAATAGTCGCCCATGATTAAGGCAGATTTTTAGTGGTGCTTTGGTAATCGGCGTAATTAAAAACGCTTGCAAAAATGAATATTATTTAACAACATAAATGGCTAGATAACGAGATGAAGTAGAAAGTGCGCAATTTAATGCATTCCGAGAGTAGCCATATTTAATTGTATTACACAATATTTAATATGCTTATAATGTTGAGAATCTGTGGCGGTGAGACTCACTGAGCAGACAACATATTAATGAATGCTAAGTAGTATATCACGAAAGAAGCCGCGTTTATATCGTGTTGGCACTCCCACCTATCGAGAGACATTATCTGTTCATCGACCCACGAACGACAATTCAGATAGAGCAATAATCTTCGACATGTCCGACAGTACGCTGATTCTCACTACTTGCTACGCCATTCAATCGCGTAACGTGTCTCACCGAGATGGAATTCGCATTAATGTAACCATTAACTGTCATGTTTAACGAACATCGGTCATTATTGTAACACTGTTTAAACTGTGGCTTCCGTTGCATCGAAAAAGTTGCTCGATAATTAACGGAAAATTATCGAAAGACACTCCGTCGTGCGACAATTATTGCACGATTGCCATTTTTATGACGTCTCGACTCGCTCGCTTTATTTAACAGGTTGAACAACCGGTCAGCAACGCGTCAAAGGCAAACTCGATTCCAACTTTTCTTATTGGCGTTTGGCTCTAATAAAACAATCGCGTGCGTTTTGTCAAGTAACTAGTGAAGCTAATACTGAAGGGCGCGTCACCTGCTAGTAAAGTATATGTGTTGACAATTCGTAAAGATTTCGCCCTTTGTTACATCAATTCATCAAATCCCACAAAGTACAAGGACAGGTTTTCTTTTGCGAGAGAAAGTAGCGAAAGAGGGAGGCAATCAACTGTGAAACTGATCACTATCACCACAATGCATTATTAAATTTCCATCCGATCCCTTGCAATATTAATTTTAATTTGATTCCACCATTCCTCGATTAACGTTGGCGCCGTAACGAGAGAGACAATTAAAACAATTACGCAGAAAATTGCCAGGGTTTCTACATGCGTACAATTAACACGCAGACAACACAAGCCGGAGCTCGCGCGCGCGATCTCAAATTCCGAATGGAGTCTTTGCCATCTGATCCAGCGGAGACCGGAAGCGACCGCGCGCGATTTAGCGATGCCACTGGTGACCTAGTTCACACTAGGACCGAACGCAGACTCCGATTACTCACCGTCACGCAGACGTTCGACGATGATGGCGAGAAGGAGCGATCGAGAGGCAAGATCCGTCCAAGCAAATCGCGACACGACGTGTTATCGTCCTGCGAATGTCACCGCACGTTATTTTCGCGATGTACAAATACACCCGGCGTCCTCGAAATAAATCGCGACGGAGAGTGAGGCGAACCGGGCTCGCGTTCGAGAGTCCAAGCGAAATAGCCACTTGTAGAGTCGGCGGATGACCGGGCGCGTAAACCAGACTGGCGGGTTGATAAACAGGTGAGATGTCGTCGCGTGCCTCTCTCCCTCTTCCTCCAGCCGTTCGCGTTCCACTCCTTCCACTTTCACCAGTTGCACCCTCCCGGTTTCACCCCGGCGCATCTCACTCCCTCCCAGATAGTTCCCCCTCCTCGCGTGCCATCCATCTCGCTCTTGTTCAGAATTTGGGCTGCCCGTCTCGTTCCGATTCCCGTCACTCGCCTTTATTCTTCGCTTCCTCCACAGAGACCTCTCCGTCTCCACCGTTTGTATACCTTTCCCTTTCTCGCGTGCCAAGCACTGTACTCACTATCCCTCTCTCGTCCGTTGCCACGAAGCAACCCCCCTACTTTTCTCAGCCATCCCTCTTTCTTGACACAGCCTTGCCAGCGACTATCTTTCTTCCTTTTCCGCTTCTCTTTTCCTTCCATTCTAGACACCCCACGTCACGCATCTCCCTCCCCGATTCACCCTCTCTATTCCTCAATATCGCCTCGCTTCCTTCCTCACATTCGCCCTCCCGTTTCCCAACGCTGGGGGGCTTTCCTCCTTCCACGTTTCTCGATTCCCCTCTCTCTCCCGCGGTGTCCCTCTGGCCGTTCCACCCTCTTCAGTGACTCCCACCAGCTATTTCTCGATGCCGCCCTACCCACCAAGGTTCGTGGCGCGCTGTTTCCTACCCTCGCAGAGGTACAACCGGAGGTACTTGCGTGCGCAGCACGTCCATCGATCTATTTTAGCTCACGTACGCGCCTGCCAGGCCGGGTATATACCTGCTGCCGCTTCCACGCCGTACCCTGCGCGCGTACGGGTGCGTTCACACTACACATTGCCACGGGGATGAAATGAAGTGGCAAGCTATAGGATAGAGAGAGAGAGAGAGGACGGACGAAACTTTGATGAGAGACCCAGAGACCCGAATTGTCGATTCTAGGTTACGAAGATCAAGAGAATTCCAGGGAGAATGGTCTGGTTGGATCAGTGTTCAACAAGCTTGATTCGCTTAGAAATCAAATGATCGGATAAATCATAAGAGATCCCCTTCTTTTTCCTATTGTTTAGCGCTGGCTCGGTTAACGAGAAACGGCTATCGATTAATATTTACGCAGTCACATTTTTTCCCCCTCGAAATTGTAATTTTTCGGAACACGCGATCGCCGTGTGTTCCGTAAATATTAATCGGAAGTTTACCAAAAATTAGCTTTTCTGATATTATACAAAGATTGCCAGCAACTTATGTTTAATACAATCTTATCTACGTTTTATTCTAACAAGTGTATCTTTTTGTACACTGAAATATTAGATCCTGATCACATCTTCAACTTCAAAAAGGCTTTTCTGCGGGATGTGCTAGCAATATCTCAACTTTGATCAATTGCATAATAAATCTCGATGTTTATTCAGTAAAAAGGATCAAAGCAATAGTTATTAAAATTAATGTCAGATATTTGGATACCTTATGATATTATAGCGTAAGCAAAAGAAGACAAAATGGCAACATTTAAACATTTTACCGAGTTACTAATTTTTTAACTGTAAATCTATTTATTTTCTACGAAAACGATTGCCACTGCGAATAATTTCACGATTGTAAATTGTAATTATTTAAAAATAAATAGTAATCTATGTCAAAGATGTGATTTTACAAAATAATAATTTTTCATGAATTCACTTTGAATAAAAATTTTATCCTTCCTGTTTTTGACAGAAGTTCCTATTTCATAGTAAAATGACACGTGTTCTATTGTTCGCAATAGTATGTGTTCAGTACACTCTAGAATATGTAGAAAAAAATATAAAAATGATTTTCCACTATATAATTTCTAACATTCGCTATTAGATATTGGATTGTCGTAAATCGTACACGGATTTTCGTGTCTACATCAAATTTTTCACACGATTATGTCGGCGTTATCGTTATCTTTCGTGTTATCATACACAGAGCACGGTCGATGATTGTGTTAGCTTCACGCGTCATCTCGAGTTAATACTGAGGCTGTCTGCTCGCAGAAGACTCCAGCACGATGCACGTTACTCGCGTGATTGTAATTTCGATGGGAATTACTTGGTAGCACAAATGTCGCCAGTATACCTCACATTTATTCGCGGCAGTCACGCAACAAGATATTAAACTTTATCGCTCACGAATTTCTCCATGATTGCTGTCAACTTGAGATATACCCTCCATTTATGTTATCCAACAAAATTTCGAATAGAGTATACAAAAATTATGCCCGGATTAATTTCTCGTATTAATATTTTTATAAATAATATTTTTTATATAGTTTTTAAGTAAATAACAGAAGAAACGAGTTTGTTTTTTTGCAATTTCAACGGTAGAAAAATCCATGAAGTTTGTTTGATAGTATCAGTAAATACAACTTTCTAATTTGCGTACAATATGTGTTGATATTTGTGTATCTGAATATGGAAAATTGAAGAATCGTCGAAAATTACTACTTCATAATTTAACTTTGTAGATTTATCACCGTCTTGTAGATTTAGCTGTCATAGATTAATAGACCCATAGATCTCACAGATAAGCCGCGTATTTTCGAAAAAATAAACGGACTGGTTAAACAAACCGAATTTTTCGTTTTTTTTATTTATCGACATATTTTCTCTGGCAAGGTATTTCATCGGATTTGCCAGGATATTTGATATTAAATGCTCGGATGATTTGGTTGGATGTGCAAGACTAGATGAATTAGTTGCTGAAATTGTTTTTGCTTTTTACAAAACAAAACCGCATTGCAGTCTAGCTCGAATGTATCGAAAGTGATCTGACATGGAAATTATTCTGGATTTATGAGTCATCACAGTATAGTATTCTATTTAGTAATTTGAAGCATGACGCTTGTTTAAATTGTATGTATTTATTAAAAAATACATTTATTGGTATCTGACCATAAGATAACTAGATAAGATAAAGCAAATCAACATAGTTTTCATTAATTCCTATTTTATAATTACTATTTCTCGATAGTATAACAAAAATTATCTTTTGTTATTAACTAAAAAATTGATTATAAAAATATAACTATACTAATCATACATGTTTTTTGATTCATCAAAATATTTTAAATATTTCAAATAGAATAAAACTTTTCCTAGACTCAAATAAATTGTATTAAGGATGGATGTTACAAATTGGAAAGAAAATGTTGAAAGTGAAATAAGTTATATAAAGTGCGATGAAGATAGAAAAAAATGGCGTCTGTATCGTTTTATCGGCCGTCAATCAGCAATTAATGAAAACAAAAGCTACGAAGTGAAATGCACTACACTGAAATCGAACTCTCGACAGCATAATTTTATGCCATTGTGCGCGCTACCGTATATTTATAGGATTGACACGCATGCTAGTTAATAGAACCGTAGCTGGTCTCTACGATGTGATAATGAAATCGGATTATCGATTTCGTTCCCGCAGCAAATAGTCGTATACCGACGTAAATGGCATTGATAGACGGTGCTATAAGGGTGTGCAGAATAATAGCGCTAGTACACACAGTGCCTAATGGAAAATTTTCATTAACTATCCGGCCCGTAAAGTCGCAATCTGGAATTGCCGTATAAATGTTATCGTCTTGTATTATTAATGTTACTATTATAAAATATTATTAAACGATCTTTAAACTTCACGTTTGATGTATCTTGTTACCTTATCGATAAAAATTCGTTCTTTATAACATAATATTAATAGATTAATACGTTTCACTATTACTGCCTTGAATGCTTCTTCTGTTATAATCTATTAAAAAATTTTTACAGCAGATACTACGATAGAAAAAACATGAATATTTATAACATTATCTTTCTTGTTATATTCTTAAAGCAATTAAACTTTACGAATAATTAAACTTTCACCGATAAGAAATAAAAATTTTCTCAGGTCTTTTATATTAAATTTGTTATTATACATTAATATTTCATTATCAAGATTTTATACGATAATCTATATTTCTGTTTTTGTATGTCATCAAAAAGTACGAATTTTTCAACTTGCAACAAAGCCAGGAAAGATATTTGCGATTGATAATGTCGCATCGCAAGTATCTTGAAATGTAACTTTTCAACAATGACTTTCAAAATAGCTGGCACTGCGACATTCAGCACACTTTGAGTTTCCCTCAAACTTTTCCTCCATTTGTTTCAATACTGATGATATAAAAATTGCTCTATTCTATTTCTATATAGCTGTAATATTATACAACACCATTAACAGCATTAAAATTAAAATGATGCAATCTTAACTAGAACCGTTAGAAAGATTATCTTTCCTTATTTATAACGTAGAAATTAAATAACCAAATAATTATTTATGACGAGAGGGTTCAATCTTTTTTACCTTAATTTTGTTTTTAGCATTATATTATGATGTTGATTATGTCTATTTATTCTAGAGAACTTAATTGAGAACACAAAATATAAATTTCTCCTTTCTTTCTTTCACTCTCTTTCATTCCTTTCCTCTGCTCATTTTCCTTTTCATTTCTCTTGCGCGCCGAAAGCGATACTTTTATAAGTCACGATTGCATTTAAAAGGAATTCCGATCGTTAATATTGCACGATTAAAGCCGCGCGGTTTCTAGAAAATTTTCCTTCCGCGTAATATCTCCCAGTCTTACAAGTTGGAGTTTCCAGGTCGAGAGATGCTTAGCCATTAATGGCGATTGTGGCACGGCGGAGACGAATAAGAAGCATAGACGACGCTCGTCGACAATTTGAAGAAATCCTCACAATCTTTCTTCTCGACAATCTATTTTATTCCGTTCCGCTTACGATGCACTGATGGACCTTCTGCACGTCGTTGCAATGTAATATGCAAACTCATCGGTATGAACTAAATTCGCGAAATTATGACGGTAATAATTGTTGATTAATCCGTTTGATGAGTCTTCTTTAACTCGTAATAAGACTACGTGATAATAATACTTATCTTAATTGGATAAATAAAACTTTAACAAACTTAATAATTAAAATTTCAATAAAAAATTTTTAAGCAAGTACTTATGCGCTGTGCTCACAAATTAAATGGAAATGTGTCGGTATTCAGACTGAAAAATATCACGAATTTACAAATATTTATAAATATCGACGGATTTATATACATATTTAGTTATTATGGGGAATTTATGACTTTAGATTATTTTTTTAGATCTACACGGAAAAAAAAGATTTGCTATGACAACCAAAAACCCTGCTAGTCTAGCAAATTTACCGCCGTAATATACGGACAGCCAGTTTGCTATGTTGCAGTAATCAAATCGCAAAGCTGCATAGGATTAGTAATTATATCTAATAAAATTTGATGTTACAGCACGGTAGATTTGTTAGTAGAGCAAAGATGATTCTTTACTACAACCAATGGAACACGCGCGACAAGTTGCGCGTAATCTTGAAGCGAATTCTACGTCTTCGTTTGTTCCAGGGCAATGTTTATTGGGGAGCTGGCGGAATCTAGACAGACTGAAGTAACGATACGCGACATAGACGAAATGGCCATGGAGTTAATCGTAGACTTCTGTTACACTTCTCACATTATCGTCGAAGAAGCGAAT